GTCACATTTATTTGATAGCTGATGTAGAAAAGATCATTATGTAAAAAAATTAGATTTTTTTGTTTTGTTTGTGTACTGTGCAAAACTCTTCAGCCATCTTTTGTTTCTCTATATTTAGTAAGGAAAATAGAAAGTAGGTCCAGCAGTCTATTGAAACATGACAACACACATGGAAGTAAAGGATAAAAGGCAGTTATAATGAAATAATGAAAGTCAATATTTGGTATGACCACCTTTATTTTTCCACACTTTTACCTGAACTCTCTTAGGCAAGACTCATTTCAAAATCAAGTAGCTTTCAGGAATAGTTCTCCAGGCTCATTGAAAGACATTTAAAGCTCTTCCTTAGATGTTGGCTGGTTTTTGTGTTGTTCTCTGTGAAAATGATTCCACACGGTTCAATAATTTTGAGGTCCGGGCCCGGGGAGGCCAATCCATGACTGACAGTGTTCCATTGTGGGCTTTTCTATCCTGGTATGCTTTTACTTCATTGCAGTGTTTGGCATCATTGTCATACTGCTGCCAATCAGGCCCTTTCCAGATGATCTTATATGGTGAATCAAATTGTCATGGCATGATCCCTGTTACATCCCCCAGGAGGATGTCTCTTCTCCCTACTAACCCTTTGTTTTGTCCAGGCTCCACCTCCTCTGTCCTGATTGGATGCTGCGCAGAGTCCGGCTAATTGGTAATCAGCAGAGCACTATTTAAGGCCTGTGGAGCTGTGCTTCTGTGCCCTCTGGCCATATTGGTTGCAATACCTGTGCAGGCTTGCATGCCTTTGTATCTTGTATGAGCATTGTTGTTTTCATGTTCAGACTGCTTGTAGGGGAGAGCTGCCTTTTGCTTTGACACCCTGTTTTCTCCTGTTTATGTGTTGTTAGGTAGGTTATGGTTATAGGTTGTATATTTTGTTTCTTTGGAGTTAGGTAAGTTTCTTTTATTTCTACATCAGGGATGTTTTGTTTGTTATGTTGGCCTTGGCTCTCCCTGACGTTACACCTCAGTCTGGACTCAAATCCCATCACCAGTGTTAAATAAACCTACTAAAATTACCATCTGGGCTCCTCCTTCTCTATCCACCTTTATGTTCGTCCCTCCAACCCCCTAGACTAGCCAGGGGACGTAACAATCCCCAACAACCTCAAACCATGACATGACCGTGGACCTCCACCATTTTTTCCAAATTGCTATAGGCTCTCACTGTTGTACCTCTGTCCTGGCTTTCTCCATACATGTTGATGGCACTTTGAATCAAAATGTTCAAATTTGGATTAATCACTCAGTAAAACCTTTTGCCTTTTGTGTTGTGACAGGCTGCAAGTAAAAGAATGCCTAAAGATACATTTTGAGATTGATTCTTCGCCAACTTGTTTGCAGACGGAATACTGTTTTTTTCCTTGAGTGAGGTACCTTTTTATGCTTGAATGACTCAGCAGTCAGCATTAAGTGGTTTGGCAAACAAGGGAATAAAAAAGAAAAAAAAAAACAAGAAAAAAAGGTCAGGTACAAGACTGGACTGACAATGAGTGAAAAAACACCCAGTATCCAAAGAAAAGCACTGCAAAACCTTCACTATTTCTCAAGACCACTTTAAAAAAAATTCTAATAAAATAAGAAATCAGCAGTAGCTCAGTAGTTTTGCACTGTAAACGGAGACCCTGAACGTTCTTCTTGGTTCTCGTGACATCACAAATTCCTGATGCAGTTTGAACTGCCCTAGTGTGTTCAACTCATTGGATTTGTGCTGATGTAGAAATAGCACAGGTAATATTCCCACTGAATTCCCAACAAGTAAGAAGTTCTCACCTGTTCTGCGTCATGCACACTCTAATCTGAAATAAGAAAGCAGCTAATGCCAACTACTTCCTGCTGTGAAACAGATTCTGGCCCTTTGTGATTTAGTCAGAGAATGGAAGCTGTCGATTGATGTTCATCATTTTTCATGTACATGGATATGCAGTTGTCATACAGTCTGAGGCCAGTTTGTCCATTACACACAAGTCTAAATGTACTAGTACAAAAAGACTGCTTTCGTGACTAATTCAGGTTTCACCACGAGATGAGATGGCTTGATTACGTGGTGAGTCTCAGAGAGTAGTGTAAGATTCTTGCTAATTTAGATGCTGTTTCATCACCCTGTAAATAGAATTTGTGATGACTTTGCTGAGACCTGTGAGAAATCTTTTCTGATGGTAGAAATAGATGATGACTGTGAATGAAGTATTACAGTCTGACTTCTAGTTTTCTTTTGCTAAATAAGTTTGAGAATACTCTGTCCCTTTTTACTTACCAGAGCCCAAGTTACTCATTTTGTCAGGCATATGCTAAGCCAAAACTCAGATACCGAAGTTACTTATTCACTGCATATTTTCTGGGGCCAAAGGACATCCGGGATGTGTATTAAGGTTCTGACATCTGAAGTGCATCTTGTCTAGTTTTGTGTAAAGCTAGCGGTACAATTTATTGACTGCTTTTCAGAGTGATAACTGTAAGGTAGGAACTGCATTTGAGATGTGCTCATTTTAATTTAATTTAATGGGGCCGTGATTCAAGGCTTAAAAGGCTTGGTTTGGTTTATCTCACTAGCTATAAGAGACACAATGATTACAGTAAGTGTATTAAAAGGAGCAGTAATAGCTGTAGGTGTCCCAGCTCTGATGTCTTGATAACGTTGGTGATGACTGGCTGTGAAGTGGCTGAGGCTGACCGACAGTCTGAGTTGATTTCCTGCATTTCCTATCGGCGGCCATCACTCCAGCTATCAGCGCCTGCCCTCTCTGGTTTAACTGATGCAGCCCTCAAGCCGGAGGAGCTCCTGTCTCAAGTTGTTTGAGCAGGGACCCACAGAAGAGGTCAAATGGATAATACTTGGACATACACACATGCAGTAATATTATTTTTGAGTTGCTATTTCATATATACTAAAATATTGTTCCTTCGTGAGTTGCAATATCCAACTGTCATTTCGGGTAAAGTGTACAGTACGGTACAAGAGTAAGGTTTATTTTATAGGCAAGGTCTAAAACATGGCATATCATGCCTTATTTAATCTGACTGTGCTGCTGCAACATTCCCTCTGTCATCTTCTCTCCTCCCCTCCCGTCTCCTTGTTTCTTTCTCTCTGTCTGCGCTTGGACAGAGGTGGCTTGTCTGCTGCATGGCTTAGCATACAGCCTGTGATCTTTTATGAATTTAGCATAAACCCTGCTGCTAAGCCAGGCGAAGACATTCACAAGAGAGGTTCACAGAAGAATATCAGAGCACTTGGCAAAATGTGAAATGAGGTGTTTTGTGGTTTCTTTGTTTGTTTTTTGCTTTGCTTTTCCAGACTACTTGGTCTGGTCTTGTGTCCCTACATTAAATAGTTCCTTGCTCCCCAAGTGTCCTCTGTTTACGTGAGTGCCCAGGAAAACCCAGCCATAATAGGATTGGCATTCCAGCGGAGCTTTATTGGAGCTCAGAGACAACACATTAGAAGTTAGAGTTATGTCAGCACGTGTCCTCTTCCAGAATTAGATCCCACACAATTTTAAGCAGGAAGTTATTGCGAAAATATTGCAAAAAAATATTCTTTACAATTTTTTGTGTATCACAATCATATTAGAGATGTAATGAAGGTAAATGACATATTTAAGAAGCTGAGGATCTTTGGAAAACATACTAGCTAAGTAGCAAGGGGGGGTGAGGAGGGAGCTTTTTTGCAATAGGACAGTGGAGAGAAGACAGGAAAGCTGGGGGAAAGATATGTAGTAAATAGTAACAGGGTGGATTCAAACTTGGACCTCCATGTTAGGTAACTGGTAAACTAAACCAGCACCCCTGAAATTGCTAATGTTTGAAGTGTTTAATTAACATTTTGCTGATGACAACAGATGTAAAAATTCTGCTGATACAGATGCACTGTTTATGTTCATATAGACTTGTACACATACACAGCAAAACCTATAATAATGCAGTCTCTGTGCTTAGTTTGCCTCATAAATGTCTGCATAGGCCACCCAACCCTTTCTGACATGCCTTGGTAAACCCCTGGTCCCATTACTATGCATTATGCATGGACCTATCTCTTAAGTCCCACAAAAGTAAAAGCTGTACTGTCACAGGGTAACTTGTCACAGTGACATTTTAAATGTGCAGAAACATTTTGTTTCACAGTGTTAGAATGATAAAAAGAGCATCTTTTGGGCAGAGTCTCACCAACCTGCAAAACAGTTTCTAAATTATAGAACAATTAATAATAAGGATACTGTTCCTCAAAATTGTAAAGACTTTGAATAGCTTACAGTATACAAATCTATGTGGGCAAGGGACAAGGCACAACATTAAAAACAAGCCTGACTCTGTCATGGAAATCACTGCATGGGCTCAGGAACACATCCAGAAATCTCCGTCTGAGAACGTGGTTCACTGTGTCATCCGCAACTGTAGGTTAAAGCTCCGTCATGCAAAAAAGAAGCCATATGCGAGCATGATCCAGAAACACTGCTGTCTTCTCTGTGCCAGAACTCATTTAAAATGAACTGATGTAAAATGGAAAAATATTCTGTGGTCAGGTCAGATTAATCGAATTTTAAAAGTCTCTTTGGACGCTGTGTTCTCTAAGAGGACTAAAGAGGACAGATCAGTTCTCAAGCTTGCATCTGATGCCAGCCGTCGATGCTGAAAGGTATATATATTGGTTTTAGAGCCGCATATTGTCTCTTCCAGAAGGCAACATACAGTAAACTTTTCATTAATGGAAAACATTCGGAGCACCATGGAATTCAAAATACAGCAAAGAAAACACAGGACTTTTGAGCAGCTATAATCCTCTATCAAACAAAGAAGTATGGAACCTCATTTCTCTCCCAAAAGTCCATCAACTGGTCTCCTGAGTTCCCAGAGTTTATGAACTGTTCTCACAAGAAGAGGGGATGCTACACAGTTGGACTTTGGGTTGTAAAAACATTCAGGCAAAATTACTAACAGTGTTTTTTTTTTTAATGTTTGTCTTACAGAAAGAATGGCTTTGCCTCACCTGTCAAACTCAAAGAGCGATGTCAGGCCAGCTGGGAGATGTTTCACCATCATCCATGGCTTCCCCGAAGAAGCAGCCTCCTGGTCCTGTTCCCTCCTCCACACCTCCCCCTGCTGCTGTAGATAGCAAACCTGTAGTAGAACCAGCAAAGCCAACCCCACCAGCTTCTGAGACCAAGGTAGTGCCCACAACCCCCTCTGAATCAACACCTGATAGTGCACTAATTTCACCTAATCATAGTATTCCTCCTCCTGAGAACAGTTCACAATCAAAAGAACAAAACCAAACACTAGCAAATGAGAATATTATTCTTTATGAGAAAGACGTTCCTGTAGTAGAACCAGCAAACCTAACCCCACAAGCTTCTGAAACCAAAGTAGTGACCACAACCCCTACTGACTCCATGCCTGAGAGTGCACTGATTTCGCCTAATCATAGTATTCCTTCTCCCGAGAATGGTTTACACTCAAAAGAACAAAATCAAACACTAGCAGATGAGCATACTATTCACCCCGAGAAAGAGGTTCCAGTAGTAAAACCAGGAAACCTAACCCCACCAACTTCTGAGACCAAATTAGCACCCCCTGAGGCTGAGCTTGATAGTGCTGTAATTTCACCTAATCATAGCACTCCTCCTCCTGAGAACAGTTCGCATGACCCACCACAGACAACAGAACAACAACAAGAAGATGAGAATGCTATCTACCCTGAGAAAGAAGTTCCTGTTTCAGAGAGTTTAGCTGATAGTACCAATGTAGCCCCACCAGCTGAGCAACAGCAAAACAGCTCTGAGAGAATAGCAGAGAATCCCCCTCAGCCAGGGAAAGAGCCATTTGATTCTGAACAACAAACTGTCAGTGAACTCCCAGCAGCTGAGCAACAACAGAGTAGCTCTGAGAAAGAATCAGAGGACCATCCTCATCCCTGTACAGAGATAGCTAATGATGAGCAACAAGCACAGAGTGCAACTGTCAGTGAAATCCCAGCAGTTGTGCAACATCAGAGTAGCTCTGAGAAACCCACAGAGGACCTTTCTCTCCCTGTGGAAGGTGAGACACAAAATCCATTGACTAATGCAAGTTTAGACAAGACAACAGACCCTGCTGAGGCAGAAACTGAGCCAAATCCTGAGATTACGCAAAGTGAGACTGCCGCTCCCCTGGCAGATAGTAAGAAAGTGGAACCCAGTCAAGAAAAGCATCCAGAAGTGACAACAAATGCAGCTGAGCCAAAGCCTGCTTTGATCCCCGAAGCAGTTAGACAGGAAACAGCTCCTGTTCAACCTGATACTACAGCTGCAAGTGTGAAAGAGGAGAAAACAACAGAGAAACCCCTGATAGGTGAACCACAAGTTACTCCAGCAGATCACAATCCACCTGACAGTGGAACAACACCTAATGTCAAGAGTGATGTTAGTGTAGAAGTAACGACAGAAGTAGAACCGAAAAACTCCGCGTCCCCTGTTGAACAAGTTGATGTCCCTGAACCTGATAAAGCTGATGAAGAATTAAAACAAAAACAGGCATTAAGTGCAGAACCTGAAATTTCTTCTGCAGTATCAGAAAAGCATCCTGTCTCCGCTTCAGAGGGAAAAGGTCAGGCAAACGAAGTGAAAAATGAACAGTCAGAAAAAGATCAGGAGCCCACATTACTTGATCTGGCAGATAAATCCTCTCCTGTTGCTCAGTTTGAAGGAGTAACGAAAGCTGTGGAGAAATCAAATGAGGAGAACACCGCTGAAAATAAAGTTTCTCAGGAACTTAATAATGAGGTAGACACAACAGCGCAGAAAGCACCCGAGGGAGCTGACGAGGGAACATCAGTTGAGATTAAAACAAATGCATGTGTACCGATATCTACTGAGGTAAAACCTGATGACGAGGAAGCTACTGAAGAAAAAGAAAATGAGGAGAATACAGTTCATAATGAAAGTAACCAGAAACCTCTGGAACAGAATGTTACTAATACAGAAAATTTGTCTCCTCTTCTCGACAAGAAGGAATCTGCAACGGGATTAGAGCCAGCTGCAACTGTTCCAGAGGAAATGCCAAAAGAAGAAATAGATATAGAGAACAAGATAAAAGCAGGAACAAAGAATGAGCCAGCTGAGGAGAACATTATTGAAACAGCATGCTTGTCAGAGAAGTCACAGGAGAAAGGAAAGACTGCAGTCAAAGAAGAGTGCACACCCGAAGCCACGGTGTTAAAATCAGATAATAAATCTGACAATGCAACGGTTATCTCTGTTCCACCACCCCCTGACTTCGAAGAGCCACAAATGGTCAATGAGGTGCCAGTGCAAAGTGTAGACAGCGCGTTATCCTCAGCTGTTACCAGTAAGACAAATGTCAGCGATCAAGCCAGTGAGGGGAACCTTTTCCAAGATGAGTCAGAGATGGGCTCACAAAAGACAAAGAGTATTGCTGAAAATCAACACGAAGCAGAGGAAGATACATCAGCTGTGACAGGCGGCGATGAGCAATTGTCAATCAAAGAGAAGAACGAAGCAGAATGTGACAAAAAAGACGATGAGTCACAACCTGTTGCTGGCAACATGCAGACAACTATTTCAGTATCAGAGGCAAACGCAGTGTGCGACAAAGAAAGCACTGCAGAGTTTGATGTAGGCGAGGATGCAATATCAAAGAAGGATGAAGTATCAGAGATAGCTTTTGAAAATGGAGGTGTGCCTCTATCAGTATCTTCAGCTCCTGTCACAGAACCTGAAATCCCAGTTCCTGTAGTAAGTGAGCAGGACAGCAGCCCGAAGGAGGAAAACACTAACATGGAGGAGGAAAAGGAGCCCCTTGAAAAACTCAATGATGAAGCCGAACTTTCTGAGGTGACCATAGTATTTAGCAGATGTAGTGGTAGATTAGAAAAAATGATCTTTCAGAACTGCTTGACCATTGCAAAAACAAAAAAACTTAAATAACTTAAATATAAAACAAGAATTTACAGTTGGAGGAAATGAAAAATTGTTCATTCCAGATGGGTTTTACTAGAGGTTGAATGAAGTATTGGTAGAACAATATATCCTACTGCTTCACTTTGCAATAAAATTATTGATAATCTTGGACCAAATATTAACATTTCTTTAAAAACATGCTGCTACACTAAATAGATTCCTCCTCAGCTAATTTGAGATATCAGAGTTGCTTTTAATGACTTCTTGTTGTGACAAATGAATGACAGATAGTGAAAACAATATTACTCACATGTTAAAATAGAAGAAGCACAAATGAGGGAAATACAGTAGTAGACACTTCCAAAGAGCTACTTAAATGAGCTGACATGTTATTACACACACAGTGAAACACAATGAGTCATTACATTACAATGCCATGATTATCTACTTTAAGTACACAAAAATATTAATTATAATAAATGTCTAAATATATGTCTAAATTGTTAAATATACAGTTTAATGTTTGGATTACTCATTAAGCATATGACATTCCTGAAAAGTGGAATAGTAAGAGCTGGATACTTCAAGGTTTTGCTCTCATATGGTCATTGTTGAAAATACCCCACACTAGTCATTCCTATTAACTCCTGAAATATATTTTAAATCTTCATTTTTCATTCCTGTCAATTTATATGAACTTGCATGTTGTGCTTATTTAAAACAACTGTCTTCGTAATTGTCAGAAATTAAGCATATATACTTAAAAAGTTTGGTTTTTTTATTCATCAGGTGAAAACAGTGGAGACCTTGAAAGAGCCTGGAATTAAAGAAGCAGCTGTCAAGGAAGGCAGCCCAACCAGCCCATCAGACCTAGCAAAGCTAGAAAGCACTGTCCTGCCCATCCTTGAGGCCCAGGCAACCACACAAGAAGAGGAGAAACAAACAGACACTCTAAAGACCAGGCGTAAATTAGAAGTGCTTCCTCTCTCACCTGACTCTCCTAGCTCAGAAGAGGACAGAGAGGTTTCTGATAAGAACGGCAATGGTACCACAAAGAAAAAGCTCCTTGTGCCCGTGGATGTCAAGACAGATTCCCTGGACGATAGCAGTGAAAGCTTTGGAAAAGAAAGCCCTATGTCAGGAGATGATGAAGAATTTATCCGAAAACAGATAATGGAAATGAGTGAGAATGAAGATGCTTCACAATCTGATGAGGAAAACCTAGTTCGACAAAAGATCAGAGAGGACGAGAAGAAACAAAAGGAACAAAAGAAAACAGAAACTGTAGAGAAGGGCACGACAGGAAAAGTCAGACGGCTTACCAAGAAAAGCACCATAAGCCCAGATGATGAAGATAAGGAATTTGGTACTTTAGTGGATAAACCTGATATAACCAAAGATATGGAAGCAGAAACAAAAGAAGGGAAGCAACAAAGTGGTACTGCAGTTCGCAAATTCCAAACTATGGAGCTGAATACAACTAGCAGCCCTGTGTCTATACCCAATGATGATGGAGAGCCTGAAATGGAAAGCCTGACAGATTCTCCAGATGATCGGTCTAGAGGTGAGGGGTCTTCCAGTCTACATGCGTCCAGCTTCACTCCTGGAACTTCCCCAACATCCCTGTCATCACTGGATGAAGACAGTGATAGCAGTAGTCCGAGCCATATCCGCAGTGGTGAAGGTAAACAGCACAGGAAAGCCAAACACAGACAACCTGGTCAAATGCTGCCAACTATCGAAGACTCTTCTGAGGAAGAAGAGTTACGGGAAGAGGAGGAGCTGCTCAGGGAGCAAGAAAAACAGAAGGGCTCAGGGAAAAAATCCAAAAAAGATAAAGATGAGATTCGAGCCCAGAGGAGGCGAGAGCATCAAAAGACACCACCAAGCAACCTTTCCCCTATTGAAGATGCCTCACCAACTGAAGAGCAGAGGCAAGAAGCTGAAATGGAGGAGATTAGACGATCATCTTGCTCAGACTTTTCACCCAGTATTGAATCAGATCCTGAAGGATTGGAAATCCATGCTGCAAAGATTGCGGCAGTCCAGAAAACCTATCAGCTGCCCATGTCTGTATCTCTTCACTCCCCAACAGATGATCAAAATATTGATAAACCACAGAAAAAAACTCTCAGATCTGCTGATGAAGCTTATGAGGAGATAATGCTGAGGGCCAAGTCTCCAACAGCTGACAAAGGTGAGATTCAGCCAGAAAAAGAGTCCCTATATGGAGGCATGCTCATCGAAGATTATGCATATGCATCTCTTATTGACAGTTCGACAGCTGATCTCGAGGACACAGAGAAGATTACTATTCCCACTCAGCCCAAAAAGCTGCGATCGCCAGATGAAGTTTATGAAGACATGATAAAGAAAAGAAAGGAATTCATGCAGCTGGAGCAGGAATACCAAAATATGCAGGCAAAAAAGGAAAGCACTAACCCAGAAATTGTGCTACAACCTACTGATATTACTTTTTCCAAAAGCAGTACAATAACATTAGACATGGATGGGAAGCCATTGTTGGATGCTGAAACTGCCTATGAAGAGCTAATGAAAAGAGTCCTGACTCCTGGAACAAGTCCAACTCAGCATGAGCCAAAAGTAGAAGCCACTGCTTCTAGAAAGGCACTCCACCCTATTCCGGACTTAAAAGTAACGCAGTGCTCTTCAGGAGAGTTATCTTCTGATGATGAAATTATACCTAAAAAGGAAGAGGAGAAAAATCCTGTATCAGATGTCACATCAGCAATGGAAACTGAGCCTGTGAAAGAAACTTTTCCATCACCCACATCAGATCAGCAGCCTGAAACCACAATCAAAGCATCCCAAGGTGATATTGTGGACTTGACTAGTGCATCTACAAAAACATCAGCTCCTGTGATTGCCAGTGTATCACCCTTGCCTACGGTCCCCCAGTATACACCTGGTATACCAAGTGTAGTATCAACTGCCCCACCTGTGCCCCCGAAGCCAACTGTCCTGCGTAGGGCTAATTCTCAGGAAAAAACAGAAGAACCTGTTGCACCGCCGCTCCCTCCTCCCACTCCTCCAAAACCTACTGTTTTTCCCAGGAAAGCTCCAGTTCCACTTCCACCTCAGGCTTCAGCAGCTCCAGTAAGGCAAGAGACAGTGACTATGACTACAGCTCAAGCACCACCTACAAGACAAGTAGTTACTCCAACATACAAACCTCATGTTCCCCCTCCTGTACCCCCAAAGCCATCCATCCCCGTTGGAATTGGGGATAGCCACAAACCAGGACATGGTGTTAAACCACCAATTGCACCAAAGCCTGGCTCACAGCCTTCATCACCTGCCCATGCCCCACATCCACAAAGACCCTCTGTACTTCCCACAGGTCCTAGTGACATAGCCCTTAATCTAAGCCCCACTTCTGAAAGCAAAATGTTTCAACCATCACCAAAGTCTCCTTCTTCTCCAAGATATGCCAGCAATCTTCGTGACACATATGTGGTCATCACTCTGCCATCTCAGCCTAGCTCTCCTGTAGATAGTGTTACCACTCATGCTCCCTCTAGCCCTGGCCCAGCATCTCCTTCATGGCAAGCTCAGCCTGAGACTTACCACCATCAGCAGCCTCAACCTCAACCATATTCACAGCAGCAGCAGCAGCAGCAGCAACAAACACCTCCTCAAACAACCAGGGTGCCTCTGGCATATACACGAGTCACAGAATCCATTGAAAGTCAAGAAATTTGTGGCCCTGAAAAACATGTATCTAGCTCTTGTCATATAATTGAGGCTATATCAGCCTCAGCACAGCCACCTGTGGTGATGCCCAACCTCATCTCTCAAGTGGTTACCACAGAAGTCCAAAGGACCACTGTCTCTGTTGTTCATGAAAGGACACCACCACCAGTGCCAGCTCCAAGGGCAAATGGTCTCCCAATATCAATGCAGAAGCCTATGCCCCAGTTGCCAGCACAGAATGGACAGGCTATTCAACCTTCTGAGGTGGTAGATCTTAGGACTATGAAAGTGGATCCAGAATCAACCACACGTGGTGTGGATCTGTCTGCTAGTCCAGACTCAAGACATCAGTCCCTTACGACTGATGTCAGTCGTCACAGCAGTGCAGTGCAGTCCCCTGTGGTCAACCTCAGTGCTGAATCATCTACAGTTTCTATAGTAACTGATAGCATCACCATCGTGACCTGTGCTGCCACAATCCAGCGACGCGACAACTTGGACACCTCTTTGACCTCTTCAGTACCCCTTCAGCTAACAAAAAACAAATCATTTGAACCTGTTTCTCAAATTATTTATCGACCAATTGATTCTCAGCCGTCTACTCATGCTACTGCTGAGATCCCTATTAATCTCTCAGTTGGATCTAGTACGAGTGGAGGAACACTCCCTGTAACAATTGCACCTGCTTCTGTTGCAAGTTGTATTGCTAATGGATTAACTAATGGCACAACCACAGTGTCAGGAGCTGTTGACCTTAGCACAAATAAACCGTTCAACACTGTGGTTTCAGTGGATGCTACGTCTACCGAAGTGGTTACAGCTGTAATCACAGACGATGGCAAACCAGTGGATCTGACTGCAGGGAAAAGAGCTGTATGTTGTGATGTTGTGTACAAGCTTCCATTTGCAGGAAGTTGTGCAACTCACCAACCTACCACACCCTTGCCTGAAGATCGCTTTGGATATCGTGACGACCACTATCAGTATGACAGGTCGCCTTATGGCATGAGAGGGTTTGGTGGAATTAAACCTTCTATGTCAGATACTAACCTAGCAGAAGCTGGTCTCTTCATGTACAAGAGTAAAAACAGCTATAATTTCAGTGGCACAACTGAAGGTGCAGTAGATCTTACCTCAGCAAAGATTTCTGATGCAGGTCAGTGCAGTGACATTGCAGACCTGTCACTTAAATGTCACTTTGAACTGCTTCCACTTATTTATGGCTAATGTGGAAATAATGGCTACTTTTTGTTTTTATTTTGTTTTGCATGGACATTTTTTCTTTTTTTTTTAATCATTTTTTTTGTTTTACCATTATATTTTTTGCATGTACCTGCATGCTGTTACTTTGTTGAACCTCATTGGAGTTTTTTTTTGGTCTTCCACCTTTTTTCATTATTTGAACAAGGCATGGTTTGCTGCAACAATTAATAATTCTGTAATACTGGGACTGAAATGATATCTTTGACTTTTGACAGGTGAAGCTGTTGACTACTCCAAGAAAAGAACTTACGCTGGAATGACAATTCCTCCCTATTCTCAAGATAGAGTCACAAGTGCTGTTGGCACACTCTTTGGTACAAGCAGTGTTTTGAGATCATCAAATGGAGTGGTTTATTCCTCTGTCGCAGCCCCAGTCCCATCTACATATGCCATTACCACCCAGCCAGGGTCCATATTTAGTACAGCATACAACACCCTGTCAGGTATGCATACCAGCGACACCATGCCTTCTCTTTCCAACCTCCAGAACCTACCACTTACTCGATCCCACAGTTTTCTATCCACCATCTCTACTACTGCAGCAGAAGAACAAGCAGATGCCCCACTCAATCTAGAGATATCTAGAGGAGGCACTACTGCTGGTGATGCTGCAACTACTGCAGCAACTTCTTTATCTCTTGACACCTATACTGATGCATCTCTGGAGGCTATAGCTGCTTCACTGGAAGCGCTTTCTTCACCCATGGTTCCTGGAGACAGCCAGTATCAGGCAGAGCGCGAGAGACTAGAAATGGAAAAACTCAAGCAACAGCGCCTAGCTGAGGAATTAGAATGGGAACGGCAGGAAATTCAGCGGTTCCGAGAACACGAACAACTCATGGTGCAAAAGGAACTGGAGGAGCTGCAGGCCATGAAACAGCAGATACTTGCCCAGCAAGAAGAGGAAAGACAGGCTCACCTTATAATGCAGAAAGAAACTTACGCTCAGCAGCAGCAGCAGCTTGAGCAGATTCAGAGACTCCAAGAGCAGCTCCGTCTACAACTGGAAGAGCAAAAGTTTCGTCAGATGTACCCAGGTGGGGACATACAAGAGGCAGTTGTCTTAGGACCTGATGGCACTGTACTGGCCCGAAAGATCACAGATAGTGGGTGCCAGACAGATGAAGAGGATGAAGCAGTCAGCAAAGCTTACACAGCAGGTAGAAAAAAGAGAACTGCTAAAAAGAGCGTTGACAGTTGTGTGCAGACTGATGATGAGGATCAAGATGAATGGGAGGCTCAGAACAGAAGCAGACAAAGCCGTCCACGTACTGCCAGAGGTGATAGGGGTGGGCAGTCTGAGATGTCTCTTCAAGCCCACACTGAGATTTCTATACAAACTGATACAGATGGGAACATTAGAATGGATACCAGAATGGAGCTTTCAGATTCTGAAAGGACCTCACCAAAGAAACGACCTACCCCCTTAGAAATAGGGCAGTCTGCTAACCTCAAAGCTGATTCTTCTACTCTTCAGGCCCCTCCAAAATCCCCCAAAGTGCTCTATTCCCCTGTATCCCCTTGTATCTCACCAAGCAAATCCCTTGAGTTTGTGTCTTATGATAAATCCCTTGGTGATACAAGCCCACAAAACCTAAGAGGAAGTGCTGATCCATCAAAAGCCTCTCCAGCAAGTCCCAGAGGACAGAAATCCATGCAGAGATCTATGTCTGATCCTAAGCCCATGAGTCCAACAGGAGAAGAAAGAGCAACATCTGGAACCCAGTATGGTGAAGGCTATACTGTAAGTACTACCATCGTAATTGACATAAATCCAGGAAGCAAAACCACAAACCAAAAATATGAATTTATTTTAACTTTCAGATGGTGTTTAAACTTTTCTTTTGGTTGATTAATTTTGACATTTCTGGAGAGTTATCTTCAGCTTAATCCCATTTCTAGGTAAAATATCATGGAGTATTGTAGTCAGTTTTCTGCCTGGGCAATTCACCACTGAGAATCTCATACATACATAAACAGTTGGAAATAAGCTGAGGTTGCAGGAAACACTGAGCTGTCAGAGATCCATCAAGGGTTTGTGAATAAATTATTTCTTGTGCAACAGTAGTGTGCAATATTTATGGGCAGAAATACATATGTTACTGTTACCTAGAAAAAAGGTAATCAACAATTTGTCTTTCAATCACTCTACTACAATACATCCTTATAGAGGAAGACTATTAAACAACTTAAATTTATACAGTTTGCTCTGTTTTAATTACTCATATAAAATGTAGCAGTTATCACTAATTAATTTATCTGAGTGACATATTGTTTATGAAGCTGAAGGCTCCTTAAACAATTATTTTGGGAACTAAACTACTTTTACAACACTTTTTTTCCTACAGGGCAAAGGCTCAGGTGGTACACCAACAGGGACTCAAAAGAAGGTGAAGAGGACTCTCCCAAATCCTCCATCAGAGGATGAGTCAACAACCACTGGACAGACAGCATATAGCACTGGCTCAGCCCGTCGAAGAATGTGTCGTAATTCCAACATGGCACGCGCCAAGATCCTACAAGACATTGATCGAGAGCTAGATCTGGTGGAGCGCGAGTCTTCCAAGCTCCGCAAAAGACAAGCAGAATTAGATGAGGAGGAGAAAGAGATAGATGCAAAGCTAAGATACTTGGAGATGGGCATTAATCGTAGAAAAGACGCACTGCTTAAAGAAAGAGAGAAGAGGGAAAGGGCCTACTTACAGAGTGTTGCAGAGGACAGAGACTACATGTCAGACAGTGAGGTTAGCAACATCCGAGAGACTAGAGGAGGTGGTGAGGATGAGGAGATTGAAAGTCATGGTCTTGAACGTCCCAGGACAGCTCCTCAGTCAGAATTGGATGACTTTGTCCCACCGCAAACCAAGCACGAGTATGGAAAATACTCTCAGTACCAATACGCTCAAAGTCAATTTCAGCAGTCTCTCTACCAGACACCTCAGTCCTACCAGTCTCATTCAATCTACTCCTCTGTCCCTTCGCTCACTACCTCCCAGCAGCAGAGTTACCACCAAATGCTTTTGTTGCAGCAGAAAGCTGCGAGACAAGCAGCCCTACTCTCAGAGCTCGATGCAACGAAATATGATGTCATTAGCCGTCAGCCTGATCCCACTTCATCAGCTTACCTTGGTGTTAAGTATGACAAATATGGGAATCATCTTGATCTCAGAGCCTTAGAAGTGGGAAGTATAGCAGGTAGTCCAATGTCAGCTGTCTCTGATTCCTACTACACAGATGTAGATCACCACACACCTCGGAGTTACATGCTGCTGGAAGATGCTGCAGAACTAGCTAAAGGCTCCACAGGTCTGTCCTCATCTTATAGTCTGGCTGAGAGGGAGCTGGCAAAGGCAGAGAAACTGCTTCGTAGGAGTGCTGCTGATCTGGGGTCTACTGACTATTTGGGATCCACGTCCAGACTTCATACCTTTGGAAAGACCCCTGACGAAGAGGATACCATGGAGGAACCCTATGAACTGAAACTTTTAAAGCAGCAGCTTAAGCAAGAGTTTAGGAGAAGTACAGGTGGGACCGAAAACTTAGAACAATTGACAGGTCTCTCACAGCACTACTATACACCAAGCTCTAGCATCTCTGGTTACTCTCAGAGACACTATCCAAAGTCAGAAAAGTATAGCATCAGTCGACTTACTCTTGAGAAGCAGGCAGCTAAACAACTCCCAGCATCTATGTTGTACCAAAAACATAAGACACCACTACTAGATCCTAAAATCTCCTCCAAATATTCCTCTATTACAGACAGTAGAGGTTTAGAGACTGACTATACTAGCTATTTGGGGTCCACCAGTGCATCCCCAAGATCCAGCCGTCTCTTGCAAGATGAGATTACCTTTGGTCTTCGGAAGAATATTGCAGAGCAGCAAAAGTATTTAGGATCCACCCTGGGTGCTAACTTGGCTGGGTCACTTAACTTGGGTCAGAGCTTGGGTTTGGATTCTGCCTATCCTAGTGGTAGTCGTTCAAGACCATCCTCCAGGCCCACATCTTGCTATGGCCTGGACTTGTCTATCAAAAGAGACCCATCAAGCTCTTCACTCAGGCTGAAAGGAGATGGTGAAGCATCTGGAGACGGCCCAAATTATCAAACCCCATCTGGTCGTACCAAACCTACTAGCCTTCCCATTGTCCAAAGTGGGCGCGGCAGAATACCCATAGTGGCCCAGAATTCAGAAGAAGAGAGTCCACTGAGCCCTGTTGGGCAGCCTATGGGTATGGCCCGTGCATCAGCGGGACCTCTGCCTCCCATCTCAGCCGATTCAAGGGACCAATTTGGTTCTTGCCTTTCATTGCAAGACTCCCAGCAGCAGCAACATATCAGGGAAGAGCCAACAAGGGGTAGGAGTTATGTGCTGCTGGATGATCTTCAGGGCACCATGTCAGATAGCGAAGGTAAAAAACAGACTTGTTACACTGCCACTTCTTTCCTAATTAGTGTTTCATCATTAACACTTTTTGGTTATGGTTTGTCTTGCATGAATTTATTACTAAAGTGGGTAAAATATAGCTTGTGTTTCTTCATTCAGACTCAGCATGTCTTTTGAGGTGTTTTTGTTTTTCCTTTGCATTCTGTTGAATGTGTCTTCTTATTCCTTTCTAGTGCAAGTACATTTAATATTGAGTTCCTTTGTGCATGCAAATCATTTGTAAACTTTTCTGTTTCCTATAGACTTGAATGCATCTTTATGTATACACTGTTTTCTATTTTCTGTTCTATTCTCATCCCAATTATTGTGTAACATCTTCCTATATGAGTTCACTGCACTGTACAGTCTGACATCCTGTTTCAGATACATGAAAGGCGTCCCCAAAGAAATACAACTTTAAAACTCAACATGATGTCACACGTAGCTGTTGAAACGCTTGAAGTATTTTAAATCCTTCTAATTAAGCATTTAGACGACAGTAGTATGTTGATCCTTTAAAATAGATCACATAGAGAAAAAAAGTGCCTTTGCCACTCAAAAAGTTAGAGTTCTGTCAGTTTCAGTCAATTCCTCTTAAGCATAATAGTGTCCTGTCTGCATTTACATAGCCAGTAATATATAAATATATATTTTTGGATTATTAATGTACAATGTGAATACAGGATATTTACTTAGTTATTCAATGATTGCATTTAACTTTCTACTAGTACCCAGTAAGACTAAACTATAGGAAGATTTAAAATTGG